CTAGAGCACCAACAGACACCAACAGCCCCCCACCACAACCGGAAACACTGCTCATGCACAATCGGTTGGTGCCTGGGCCTACTCGACTCTCGACACATGTTCCTAGCCGTATGCAATCTGGTGCACTTGAATCTATCATGGCACGCTAAAAGGTGGGACATGGAAGACTGCCACATGACTCGATAACTCCGTCCCCCTTCAGAACGGAGGATCAGACTGGGTTAGTTGCCTCGTAATGTTGCCTTTAGGGCACTCCCACTCATTCAAATCTGCACTGACTTCCATTCATACATATCTTGACAAGGCTTGCAAACATGAATCATTGTTATAAGTGTTATTATTATTATTATTATTTAATGCTACATTTACACATGACATGATTACCCACTTCTTCTGGAAAGTGTCTCGTAACATCATTGGCGTGCCACTGGTCTCACTTCATAAAGCCTTTGCGCAAACGATTTTTATTCGACTTCCATTTTCTGGAAGCCCTTGTTCCAACACAATCGATGCTCAGTTTCTAATCCTTGCGAATCGTCTATCTACCGTTTGGTCAGACTTTAACCAGTCTTTCATTGTTTCTGATAAGTGTTTTTCGTTCTTCGCCGAAGTCACTACTGAATAGATTAATTCATTAATTTTTAATTATTATTTTTATTAAAGACCCGTCGGGGTCCCATCAAAGCAAGTAAAAATAAATGTACATGCGAATTTTAGACGACGTAGGGAATTTCTGTACCAAGTGCAATACATAGTTTTTGACTTTGAAGCCCATTAAGAAAAATGATAAGCGAGGGGTGAAAAAAAACTCCACATCAAAATTTAAAAATGATTGGATTAATTTTACAGGAGGAAAAAACCCTCGAAGAAAATAGAAACAGAAAAATGCGGACGGGGCTGGCCTGCATGTGGCGGTATAGAATAGATTATAGTCGGACATCGTCAGGGCCGAAATAAATGTCCGCTGTATATGGCATTGTATAACGGATTTCATGAAGGGGTAGGTGGGCGGGTCAGTCACGACTGACCTGTATGTGGCCTTGAATAAGGCAAGTAAGTGGTGAAATTGAAAACCAGACTCGAGGCGATAGGAACCCAGATGCGGTCGTATACATTCATCCAAGTCCATCCGAGGATGGGGCAAGGGCGATGCGACCAGACTACTTGTATATGGCGAATACAGAAGGCTTCGCGAAGAGCGTCGATGGAGCGCATTCTGTGAAGGCACGATGCTTGAACTGAAAAATTGGAAAAATTAACATTTCTGGTGAGGGATCTTAGGAAGCGAGACTATTCACAAAGGAAGGAAATATGAACAGATACGGAAATTTAATGGCGGCATACTAGAGACCCAGTGGTCCTTCTCAGTGCCATAGATAAAATTGTCTGGGAAGGATGACGAAAATAAAAGTTTAATCGAGTCACTATTCAGATAAAGGCGTAGTCTTCTCTTAAAGGTGAGTAGATTATCTGAAGATCTTATATTTAATGGAAGGTTATTCCAGAGGAAAGTATACCTGGAAGCGAAAAAAGGGAGCGTTTAGAAGTGGAGGACGCTGGAGGAGGTATAATCAAGGACGAGTTGCGTAGATTGTATGGGCGACTACTAGGGGGTGAGTGTTGACATCCGAGGAAAATTTGAACTATTAAAAATGCGAAAGAGGAGACAGAAGCCTGCTTCTAGTCTTCGAACCCATAAAAATTTCAGGTTCATTAACTGGCATCTATCTGAGCAGGAGATATTAGGATGTTCCTTAACAAAAAGTTTTTTAGAAAAACGTCTTTGGACATTTTCAATTTTTAAACGACTAGCTTCGTTCAACAAACCAAAGAATGGGCAACAATACTCGAGAGTGGGTAGTACAAACATGCGATAGAACCTTAATTTAATTTCAGGAAGATAGAAATTGTAAGAAATAAAGCCACAAATCTGGGCAGCTTTGGTTGTAATTCTGTCAGCGTTTGGCGAGAGATCAAGATTACTAGTGTAGCTTAAACCTTAATCCTTGATGGTGGTACATTCATTCATAGGTGTGCCTTGAAAGACCACTGGTTGGGGTAGCTTCTCAGGTCCAAAACACATATAGCGACATTTAGACGGAGAGAATTCCATTAGCCATTTTGAGCTCCAAGCTGAGAGGGCAAGCAAGTCAGCATGAATTTGCTCCAGGCAATGAAAACTCGTAGATTTGTTGAAAGAATGTACACATTTGAGACCATCGGCATAAATAAATGATTGAGAATGTTTAACTGCTGCCGAAATATCATTTATGTAAAGCAAGAACAAAAGAGGACTTAAAACGGTGCCTTGTAGGACACCACTTACAATAGGGCTTTCACTGGAAAGTAAAGATCCCACCAAAACCTTTTGCTTACGATTAGACAGGTATGACCTGAGAAAGTCTATTAGTTGACTGCGAATTCTCATAGCTTCCAATTTAACCAAGAGTCTTTTATGTGGTACTTTATCAAAGGCTTTACTAAGATCAAAATAAATAACGACAACAGATAGATGGTCATTACGAAGAGGGGTAAGTAGATTGAGAAACGGTAGATGACATGTAATACAAGGGAGATCTGGTAAAATCCATGCTGGGAAGGGCTAATAACTTCATTGGCTATGCAAAGGTCGGCAATTTTTACGGCGATAATTTTTTCAAAGATTTTGGCGAGAGAGGGTGTTTTATGGACGCCTCGATAGTTCTGTACGTCAGAACGACAGCCAGACTTAAATACAGAAATAATAATAGAAGTTTTCCAATAGTCAGTGAAGAAGCCATTTACGAGAAATACTGAAAAGATTTTGCTAAGCAGAGGAGGAAAATTTCTTAGCTGTTTTATAACAGAGTTTGGGATATTGTACGTACATACTGAGTCAGAGTTATGAAGATAGCTTATAAGTTTTTGAATACATAAAGGAGAAAAATTAATGATGCTAAGAGAAGCATCAGACTACGGAGGAATTAAAGGGATTGGGTCAGTTTCAATGGTGAAATGTTTGGTATAAAAACGAATTTAAAATTTCTGCTTTGCCTGACTCCCCTGTAATGAAGGCATCGCTAGTACTAAGCAAAGGCGGAATGACTTGGGAGGACTTAGCAGATGATCTTTGACGGAAGATCTGAGCAACTGATTTAAAAGCATTTATGTCATTAATAGATAAAAACTCTCTACGCCTATCTCGCTCGAGCATCATTTTCGAAGCTTGTTCAAATATTTCAACGATACTTAATGAACTGATAATGAGCTCACATAAGGATCTTTAAACTGCTTCCGTAACTTTTTAAGTCTGTTTTAAAGAAAGTGTTGGATAGCGGTGGAATTAGCACTCGATTTGAACATCTTCCGAGGAATAAGGTCAAGAAGACCTTCTGTTACGCATTGTAATAAATTGTTGAAAAAATTTAGATTATTATTTGAAAAAATATTGTGCCAATCAAGAGTGTGTGTAAAGTTATTAACTAATTCCTTGCTAACATTAGCAAAGTCAAAAATACTACGTTGTACTGTTGACTTTGCGGAAATGGCAACTTGCAAAAAGGTCATTATAGAAATCCATAGATAAAGGGAAGGTGCCATTGGTAAAAATTAAGTCTAAAACACTATCGTTTCTGGTCGAAGAGTGAACTAATTGAGATAAGTTTGAAAAGTAAATGGTGTCAAGCAGCTTCTGGAATTTAGGAGGAGAAGTATGTGTGTGCCAGTCAATTTCTGGCACATTAAAATTGCCTACGATTATCTTGTCATCGAAAGAGGTTTCAACAATTTTTCTCACAGAGTTCACAGAGTTGGCCTTCATTTCCGGAGGAACAAGGAGGATTGTATACACATCTGGCTAAGGCTTTCCTATTTTGCGGAAGGATTACCGAAACAAAGCATAAATTTCCAGAGAAGGAGGAAATGTTCCATTCATAAAACGATTGTGCAAGTGAGGCTCTTATGCAAAGAAGGCATCCACCGCCGCGTCTTTCGGCACGATCCTGGCGGTAAAAAAACTGAGGCTATCTATATTATGTGCCGAGTCTGAAATTAGAGAGTGAGCCCAAGATTCTGTAATGCGCAATACGTCAGTGTCAAACTCAACAGATACACTTCTTCTGACAGAAGAGGGATGAACTGTTTATAGTTCTTCGATCTTCAAGTATTCCGCATCTTGCCTCGACCGGCTGGACATTCAGCCTATAATACCAATCCAGTGCAATTTTATGTACCCTGCTCTCTACGTCCTTTATTGTAAACGAAGTAACTCGCTAAGTGCGGCTTTGTATGATTCCCGATAACTAAGCATGCATTGTCTAGATCTCCTTGTCATTATTCCGAACCAAATTCACTTTGGCATGCAAAGAATTGGCACTGCGGACTTCAGTTCGACAAACAACAACTCGGGTGAGTACTAACAAGGAGTCATCAAATCTATTACGCCACCCAGCGATTAATGTCGAAGCCGTCGCTTAGAGTAGGCATGTGTTGTCATAGCAAATGGCGATAAAAATACTATATTTCCCTTGCCTTCGTCCCCTTCATCTAACGCTGCCTCTGACGATCAGTTTAAATGAGAATCGGGAACGTCAGTTCAGTAAATTTGTTGTTCCACGGATCGCATTTTCTTCTGCACCTAATAACAGCCAAACAAAGTACGTTATAAGTAGCGAGCCTGCAGAGAGCAACTGCCGGGTGTTCCAGAGTTAAGCTATTATTTTGACACAATGTGGATTGCAGTTTACTGGCGGCCTTGTTATTGCTCTGTTGTATTATATTCATGCGGTAGCTCGGGTAATTGCTAATATGTCTCTCTCCAGATCTTATCAATTTATTGTTTACCAGATAGGATTTCGGAGACTGTATGTCAGCAGCCGACTGCGTCTTAAACCCTGTTCGCGGCTATCAAAAGGGGCTTGCGTGCTTAGCTTATATGTATGAAATAGAATCCGTCAACCATCTAAGCACCTTGTTTTAGTAGGTCGACCGTAAACAAATGATTTTTGAATCATAAGAGGCTAATGCTTTTGCCCCTTTTAATACTTTTTCTCGTCTCTGCATCTGAGACGCTAAAAGTTTCAAATGAGGTAAAAGACCTTTATGAAAACATAAAAAAGCTAAGGAAAAGAGTGCTTTACAACACATATCCGGATTTCGTGAGTCCTTTTATATTCACATTTTAATATTTTGGTGGAATTTTTCTGTAAAATAACGCTCTCCTTCAGAATTTAGTACAGAATTAAGTCATTTTTTGGAGCAACTTGCTATTTGGCAATAACCTTGTGCACTGACAAAAACACAGAATAATTGTGAGAAATTTCCCGCTATAGCGGTTTGGGGGGGGGGGTATGTGGAGAAAAGGCCGGGACAAGTGTTGGTATGTCAAAGGGTGGGTAAGCCCAATGTAGAAGTGTTTACACCTCCGTCCATCCAAGTTTCCAGAAAACAAACAAGTGAAATTTGTTTCCTCTTATGATTGTTTCTACTGCCTAAGCTACGCGGCAATCTTATAGACACCGTCTGTGCTACAAAAAACATGCAGTTGTTCCAGTGTATAATTTCGGATCGGGCCATGGTCTCTTCGTCTCTTTTTAACATATTCCTTAGGCTGGGTATATATACGAGCAGGGAATTTTTCCATGACACTTGTGGGACATGCTTTAATGGATTTGTTTTGTGATGGGATGACACTTTGAATCTCGTCAAAGCGTGGTGTGAGTGCATATTCTTAATGCGAAAAAGCTGGAATATAATATTTAAAACACGTCAAAATAGGAAATGTTAGAAAGTGCTTGAAATCAAAATAATTTATGCTGGCTTAGCTGAAGATTTGCAGGGATTGTTTTTACGCAGAAGACACAATGTGGGCTCTGTTAGCCGTATTAAAAGCAAAGGAGTCAGAGGGGTGATAGCTAGAGAGATGTGTGCACACTCCTTAATAAGGGTTAAAAATCGTAAATATTAAAGATGTATATCCTTCTTGATACCCGAGTTGATCTTTCACCAATGTTCGCTGACCCCAGGAATACGTTGGATAAGTTAGGATCACGTTGGGTATGTAGGCTTCCCTGTAATCAAAGCCATAAATAGAGGAATGATGGATCTTTTTTGTTTGCATTGACTCTGGGTTTCTCGACCTCATCCTCAAAGTTCCCCAGGGATTGCGCGTAGCTTCTTTCATGCGTGTGTACATTTGGAGAATTTCTTTTATATTTTTAGGCCGACGAATTTTACTGAAGCAGCCAAACTTCACTAAACTATCCTGCGACTTGGTGGTGCAAACTTACGTAGGGGTCTCTAATTTATTTCCGTATTATCTGATGTAGCATAGCCGTATCAAGGAAAAGTAAGTGCGCGATTCACGGACTCAGGGAATCACTTCCATTTCTCTTGAGCAGGATGTCCGGGGAAAATAAAATTGGTTGAGCCCCAGGTTATAAGGCTATAGTAATAGCGTTGGAGTTATCTAGCAGCGCGAAAGTTGTGAAATAGCTTGTATCAATCTGAGAAAATATTTTTTGAGCATCAAACGCAGGCTAAGCCTAACACAAATTGATAACTTGGTTATGAACTGGGAAGATCATATAGATGCATAAAAACAGACATACATTTGAACGGAAAGTGCAATCAATCAACCTGCGATGAAAGCAGAAAGCCACAAAGGAAAAAAATGGAAAGTAAAAGGGGAACTAGACTTGGAAGTCTGAAAATATTTAATGAAAATTGACAAACAGCAGCAAGGCTGGATGAAAGATAGGCTTTTTAAATTCTGTCATTAACCGCCTAGTTGGGGCGTAATATGACACTCAATGGCCAGCCTACTAACACAAAATGATCGATAGCATAGTGTTCACCCTTCATTGAACACACAAAAGTGTATGTCCTATTGACTCCCGCAGTGTTTAAAACGCTTTTCCAATAATGTTTTTTAGGATAGTCTTGTTCGTCGAACCTATTTAATCGATGTTTAATCGAACATATTTGACAGCTACGTCAGAGATAATATCAGTTACCACGTGAAATAGAAATTTCTCGTGTGTAAATCTGTCTCACTGCTGACATAGTTCGGCACCTTGCTTACGCCGTTGATTATTGGAACGTTTTAGCCTTTTAGAGTATTCTCTTTACTAAATTTTGCTAACGTTTGTCGGCGTACATATAAAAGGTCGTACAAAACCTCCAGTTCAGAAAAGCTGTGAGTTCTGTTTGCGACGTGGTTGAGGAAACATTTACAGTACCCGAAGTCTTTTTTCAGCGACGTGATGTATACGTCCGCAGATAAGAATATGGATATCGTATTTCTTGACTGCGGCTGATATTGCCGAATTAGCGATCGTTAAATTATAAAGTTTGCAGCAGAATCGTTTTTTTGTATCTGACGCTGTGAAGCACTGGATGCTTTGAAACGTACCGCAAGATCCCATTGGTTAGTCCATAACACACCAAGCATCACATTTACAAACAAGAAATATCATTTGCCGTCAAACATCCGATTTTAGTGTCATCGCAAAAAAGTAGACACCCGTTAAAATTGATATTTTGGCAATTTTTTCTGTGAGTAGTTTGGCCATCTTGAACTAAAGGCGTTGTCGTTGCCAAAAAAGACTTCCTGGTGACCTAATTAGGCTGTGCAAACAATTTACATGTTCTCTCCATTTTCCTGTTTGGAGCCAGAATTGCGAAACATAGGTAACGAAGTATCTCCGATTGGGGAATCATTAAGTGTATTATATAAATGCTCTATTTACTCTCGGCTGTCTCACTATGACAATGTTTGCGACCAAAGCCCTTCTTTCCGGGTATAAATTGAAAAGAGGCATGTACAGCAAGATTTATTGTTATCAATTTCTTTCGTGACGGCTTTTAATCTGCAGCCCGTCTATGCCTAACAACGACAGCGAATGGAAGCGCACAGGAGTATGAATTTTTACAGAATGCCGGTGCATAAGAGCCCGTTATAATGCCCTTAACGTTTAAGGGTGACGACTTATCTAACACAATCACGCGACGCTTGCGTTGCGCCATGAAAAGGACGTACAACGCAGCAGAACTCGTCTTCCAGTTAACGAGGCAAAGAATACCTTGCTGATGCACGCCACTCCAAACTGCGTGTATGAATTCACATGCACTTGCGGATGTAAGCATGTTGGGCTTACGCGAAGGCAATTGGCAACCAAGGCCGCTGAGCACTTGTCTACCTGACTTTTCTAACAAGAAAACAAAACGCCTCGTTCGTCTATACCGAAACACCTGTTAGATAGCGGTCATGCTGTCGACCCTAAAATAGCTTTTCGAGTACTTTTTGGAGCCCGCATAACTCGAACCTTACGTTTCTTGGAAGCTGTTTACATACGGCGGGAGAAACTAGACCTATGCAAACAGTTAGACCACGTGGTTAATCTGCAATCGACCTCGTAACCTTCACGCCTTGATCTACTCGTGACTGTGATTTGTGTTAACATCCCGTCTCCCTCTTTCCTATATGATGTATATGCAAACGTCCTTTATCGGATTGTTCGTTGCATTGAACCTTGAGCTTGCTCTAATGCATTGACATTTTGTGCAAATTCATACTGCTGTGCGCTTCCATCCCTTATCTCTGTTATGCAGAGACGGGCCGCAGTTGTCACCAATAGTTCCTGCTGCTCATGCCTGTTTTCGATGTTAACGTAGTTCCAGGATTCAGTCTTCACCAGCACTGTTTGCTTAATAGTTTACTTGAGAGCGGATTAGACATCAATGACTGTGCCTTGGTCAGAGATATCCGCAGGTTCATCTTTACATGATGACACAGACAAACTCAGTACACAGATCCAGAGTCAACAGTCCTGCCAGAAAATTGGGTCATCGGGTGAATAGCGCCTGGCTAATTTACCCGACAAATACTTCGTTGACTTCAAAGAAACGTTCCAGAATACCTTCTTTTATTGATCTTTGCCTTCCATCGGCCAACTTTTTTATCTGTTGAAAGCGAATGACAGGAAAAGCTGACTGTATTTGGTTAGTTCAATTACAAACAATCTTTAGGCTTTGCATCCGCACACGTTTGTCTCTCCCATGCTTTTGATGTCAGTTCGGTTGCCAGTGAGTATGGGAACATCCGTTTCATTTGCTTACCCGCGTTCGGTAATTCTGTTGACCTGTGGCGCTGGTGAACTTGAGAAAACACGCAAGATATAATTTTGTCGTCACCCTGCTTATTTATTAGGTTGACGTGCCGTTTTGCACTTTCAAAGCCACATATCCATTACGCCAAATCTTTTGTTCTCATGCAATCATGGGACTGCAGCGCAACCATTTGTGGAACATTCCACTTGATCAAGCATATTTTCCCGAGAAAGTAGTCATTATTGCATATATCAAGCAGAGGCTGTTACCAAGTGGACAAAATACAGATTTCTGGGCTCTTGCAAGCCTTTGCAGGTTTCTGCGGAAATTGTGTGATGCGCCGATTGATACCTAGGTGTGTGCACATGTGTAGGACACCCTGCCGGTCAGTCTTTCCCCTTGTGTTCTACGCACGGAGATCGTTTTCTGATAACGATCCTTCCAGCTAAGTGTACGGATTACAATGTGTGCCCGATCTCATGAAATGTTGGCCGAAATTCTGCAGTACCTTTCGGATTAGGAATGATAACTTAGGTGGGATTGTAATATTGATGAGCATGCAGCATAATCTTTTAGTGTTTCAGACTCGCCGGGATGTCGGCTTTTGAACGCACTCCTTTTTGACCTGCTGAAGTAACCACACTCGGAAAAAATGACTACTTAATTTGCATGAATTTTTGCTATTGATTTTCGACGGTCTTATAAATCCAAATACATTTTGCAGAAAAAAATGCATAAAATATGCCTTATTTTACTCCTTTGGTAGAAAATCACATTATCTCCATATTTTATACCGGAAGAAAGTAGATCTTTAGTTTTTGAAAAAGTTTCCCAATTTCTGAATAATTTTGAGCCTGATCTGCCATTGCATTAGCGTTTAGTGATTTCACTCTACAAGGTGCATGCTTTCCGCGTAAGGAAAATCATATATTCCTTTATGCCTTTAAGAAGACGCTATAGAGAATTCATGAAATTTTGTAACGGAGGCGGACTATGTTGTGCATTTCATGAGAAGCATTGGTAAACGGACATGTGCAGTCCCGTATGCATTGACATTGCAGGGTCTTAAAAATCTCGCAATGAAAAACTTTTTAAAATCCAAATATACAATTTCTTCGCGTATAAAATATGGAGACAATGCGATTTTCTATCAAACGACTGAAATAAAGCCTATTTTTGTTCGCGGTTTCTACAAAATATATTTGAATTAACAAGACCATCGAAAATAAATGGGAAAAATGCATGCTATGTAAGTTATCATTTTTTGCCCAGTCTGGTTTCTACAGGAGATTGAAAAGCTGTTCATTCAAAAGCTGACACCTTGTCGAATCCGAAATATTATAGGATTAGTCCGTAGGATAACCAGTACTACAACCGCACCATAAGTAATTCTTCCTAATCGAAAAAACATGTCAAAATTTTAGCTAAAATTTCAGGAGATCTGTCATTCACAGTATGTCTTGGATGAGACAGGCGGCACTCCCTGTGACAGCGCTGTGGGAATATCACAGGCTATCCACAAGAGATTTGCGCAGCTTCCTCGTCACCTACTATGCGAATTAAACACTACTCATTTACGTTAGACACCTCAGAATTGTTGGAGGACATCAGAAGTAAGCGGGCCTCGAAACAGTCCGCCAAAGCATGGCGGTATCGACTGAGCTTTCGTTATTTGACTTTTTCATTGGAGACGACAGTTGATCGGGTTCTGGTGAACTGACTCACATGGTGAAGTACCCTCCTAGGCATCACTGAGGCTGATTAAACAGAGCATGGTTTTGTTCCTTCCAGATACCCTGGTGACAGCCTTAAATAGTTCTGACTGAAACGAAGTTTGGAAGCGATATTATAGCCCCGGCCTGTGAATATGAGATATTTCATCATTAGAAGAGCGTTTCCTTTTCATACCATTTTTAATCATTACCCCTCTTTTTTGTGTTCTGATTACTCAAAACAGATATTCCTCGAGCCCTTAAGGGATTCGATTCTCTCTGCTTAGCTTAATTGGCTTATTGCAGAGTTCGGGAAATACTGAGACATACGAAGTATCGGACATACGAAGTAACGGACGGCTCTGCAGAACAGGATCACGTAATCAGTGGGCATTATATTTCGTAGTTCAGTCATCACTGCTTGGGGGAACTATCACTGTCTGCGCTGTCACTGGCCAGCGTCGAACCAGATGTTCAGAGTGGAGACCTCAGATTTCTCGCCTATGAAAGTCATTATAATGATAACTGTCATACGAAGCCAGGGCATCCTAAACTTCACTCTGCCGAGGAGGGAGATATCGCATCCATCGCCAAACTTCCAGACCATGAGAACGGTCCGTTGTGATAAGTCGCACTTTGTTTGTTGACGGCCCCTTATCCGTGGATGCCTCTGCTGATGGGTTCGAGCGGCAATACAAAATGTCAGCCGGATAGAATTCTTGTTCCACTGACATATTCTCAGTCATCTTGAGATTTTCACATCTCGACAGCAGCTGGCAAAACTTTTCACTAGAGCCAATTAGAGACGACTGTTTCTGGCAAATTGTTTGGCTTGGCTTTAAGCCACGATGTGCACCTTTTTATGAACAGTCTAATGCTATATTAGGCTTCAGCCTTCGCTCACGGAAGGCCGAGCCTTCGGAGAAGGACACATGCTCCTAAAATGTTGTAAAATCCAGGGTTTTTGTCCCATGGGCGATGTTAAGAAACACAAAACATTGTACAACCAAGCTTACTTTATTATTAAACGCGACCCCGCTTATGCGCTGTTGTTTGCTTGAAAACGTACCCAAACTTGAACGTCGGAACATTCCCTGCTCTATGCTTTAAACACGACGACTGGCTTAATTGGAACTGACAATTTTATTACTCGAAGGGCGATTGTATGTGAGGCGGGTAGACTTCATTTCGGCATCCTTGTCAGAGGAAACGTTATCTTTGGTGTCTTTTCTAGAAAACAAGCAATGTCCTAGAGGAGGCTGCTGGGGCCATTGTCGAGCCGTGCGCAGACGTGACGCAGACTCCGGATGATTTGCTCTCCTTCAAGTCTTCATCTGTCAGCGAGTAAGCACGCGTCCGTTTCTGCTTGTAGCCCCTCCCCCCTCCCCCCTCGTCAAGCCAGCTGATGTCTCACGTCGCAATGTCCCTTATTCCTCAAGAAGGACTTTTGTGCGTTTTGTCATCTTTTACAGAGCCTACAACTTACTCTTTGATGGAGCCGTACAAAAGTCCGAGGTGCAAACCGTTATGCCTTACGCTCGGATGCAATACGTGAGTGTACTGCATTCTAACATGCGAATCCACTCTCAAATTTTTGAAACAGTGCCTTTGCAATGACTGATCGATCTCATGAAATGTTGGCCGAAATTCTGAAAGGCGTTTTCGATTAGAAAGGATTACTTAGGCGCGGTTGGGACACTAACTATCTTGTGGCATAATCTTATAACATTTCAGACTCGGCAAGATGTCAGCTTTTGAATGTACTTCCTTTCGACCTCATGTAGAAACCGTACTCTGTAAAGAATGACTACCTAATAAGCATGCATTTTTCCTATAAATTTTCGATTGTATTGCAAATCCAACTGTATATCATGAAAAAACAGATAAAAAATGCTCTCGTTTACTCGTTTTATAGGGAATCACGTCTTCTTTTTATTGTATACTTGAAGAAGGAGTACAATTGGGTTTTTAAAAAGTTTTCTAATTCCCGAATACTTTGGTGCCTGATCAGCCATTATACTAGTGCTAAATGATATCAGTCTACATGGTGCATGAGCTCCGTGTATGGGAAATCATATATTCTTCAACGCCTTTGAAGAGATACCATATAGAGTCCATAAAATTTTGCAATGGATGCGGACCTTGTTGTACATTTCATGAGGAGCAGTGGTAAACGGACGGGTACGATGCTGTGTAAATGGACATTACACAGTCTTGAACAATTTAATAATTTAAAACCTTTTTAAAACCCAATTATACTCCTTCTTCAAGCATGCAATAAAAAGAGGACGTGATTCCCTATAAAATGAGTAAACGAGAGCGTTTTTTATCCGTTTTTTTCATGAAGTATAGTTGAATTTGCAGTACCATCGAAAATTAATGGGAAAAATGCATGCTAATTATGTAGTTATTCTTTACCGAGTACGGTTTCCACAGAAGGTCGAAAGGAAGTACAGCCAAAAGCTGACATCCTGCCAAGTCTGAAATGTAATAAGATTATGCAACAAGATAATTAGTGTTACAACCGCGCCTAAGTAATCCTTCCTAATCGAAAACGCATTTCGGAATTTCGGCCAACATTACATGAGATCGGTCACGCACTGTACACAAAGCGCCGCTTTGCATTTAATGTTTTAAATAGGCCGTATGTTGCCCTCACACTTCCGACAAATTCTTCTTCGAAGGTAGGCTTCCGCACGTCATGTCATAAAAATTCCGAACGAGCGAAAACTCACGAGCCCACTCGAAGCTGTCCGATAGCTTTTAAGTCAAAAAATATTGCTAAGCTAATCGTGTGTCATTGCTTTTTGGGGCGTATGTTAATTACATCGTACTTATTTGTCTCCAGAGAAGACATAATTAACTCCCGGATTGCTGACCAAGTTTGAGATGCGTTAAGTCAAACGGTAAACGGTTGACTCCGGAACGGCAAACACTTCTTCGATCCTGAGCTGTATGGCAACGTTGTCGTCTTCATCTAACATGTTGATTCTGTAGAGCTCGTGATGCCATGATGATCACAAAAGTGACAAGCAATTAGATATACCCAACACGGCAGACCATGCTTGACTGACAGACACTTTAGGCGGTCAAGGCAATCTCATTTAATTACATCAACAACTCTCGTATTATATCCTTTGCCCGTTGGTTATCGATACTTAAGAAGATGAGGTAAGTTTTCCAAACTATCTAGAAACCACAGCCCTCCCTATCTTATACAAGTCGTAAGAGTGCGTCGACCAGTAGTTGCTAGTTCAAACGCATAAGTCATATGATACCACAGGTTTACTAATCCTGACTATGACGGCAGTTTAGTTTTGCAAAATGTAATTTACTATTTTTTGGATTCTGGTATGTTTTTCGGCGCAAGCGATTATCACTAGGTCCTCAACGCGTGCGTACGCATAGCAAAGTATCTGGACTGTCTCGCTATAATGTGCACTGGAATTCTAAAATGTGTTCACAATCACGAAGAATTACCTAGGTGAGGTCGTAGTATCGATTAGCATGCAGCTTATTTCCAAGCTTATATAATCAGGCCACGATGTTTGCCGATGGATGAGCCTCCTTCCAGCCGCCTACAGAAACCGCACCGACATCCAATGCCTTTATAAATTTGCCTTGTTTAATTTCCTAGGAAATTAGTGCGCTAACTTGGAGTAAATCTTTCGAAAGGGGCCTTTTAAGGCACGGTCCAAAGTTTGATATGAATATTTGGGCTGAAATCCATCAGCTACTGCGGAACAACTGCTTAATATTTACAAACCGCCAACAGGCAGCCAGCAGTATAGAACTATGCAATGATTTACCACAGGTATTAGCCAGAAAAGGCCCGTTTCGAAAGAGTTACTCCAAGTTCGCGCATTAATTTCCTCGGAAATTAAGCAAGGCAAGTTGAAACTGGAGTTCATATACCAGAAAACACACGGGGAAAGCTGGGGGACCCACTGACGAGCCGAACCCCTCGCAGCTGCTTCAGGCAGCGGCACAAGATCGGCAAAACAGGCGTGTCCGGGCTTTTAGCTTATACCTGTGTTGTTAGTACGGTAAATCATGGCACAGCCTTTATAACCTTATGCAGAACACACGCCCAAAAGTATTCTTTCTTACAGGCAGATCATTCTGAGTCCTTCTTGTAAACTCTGTTTTCGGTTGACCTGAATATCCGAAGCATTATTGAAAAGCGCGAGCGGACGGCCAGATTCCACCCCATGTTATCCTCACACTTGTGCGCAAAATTTTGAACATCCAAATCGCAGTGCTCATAAGGGCCAATACAGCGGGGCTAATGCTAAACTGGGGGGGGGGGGTCAGTTGGTCACTGTCCCACTGATCCACGCCTTCTTCCAATGATTTGAGGCATTCTGCCCTAATACAGACGGTACAGTACGATAAAACTTTCGGTAGAAATTTATTTATCTTCTTCGTCTTCTTGCTCTCCGTCCTGTGTGTTGCCACACACGTGAACCCCCCCCCCCACAACCACCATTCAACGTAAGGATCGGGTGAAGGCCCCCAAGCATCTGTGGCATACAAAGAATACCTACTATACTCATTTAAGTTAGTTTGGGTCGCACACGATTATTTCGCTTTGGTGTTTCATCTTACAAGGTTAGATCGTCTGCTGTAGACGGTCTATTGCATTATCTACTATGAACTCTGCTCAGACAGTTGAGAAGCGATCGTTGTAGACAGTCTGGCGGATTATTTGTAATGACCTCAGCTCAGACAGTTGAGAAGCGATCGTTGTAGACAGTCTGGTGGATTATTTGTAATAACCTCAGCTTAGAGAGTTGAGAAGCGATCGTTGTAGACACTCAATGTTTATTTTTTTAATTGCCCTGCTTAATTTCGGTTCCTATATGTCAATGCATTAAGACTTTCCAGCCGGAAAAACAAATGTACCAGTTAACTATACTTATTTTGCAATTCCTCTATGCATAAATAGGCCCAGCCCGTAAAATCCATATTACCACCTTTTCCGTAAGAAGGCACCTTTGGCTGGTCGTGTGCGTTTGGGGCCCTTAACCCGATCGTTGTTGCCACTGAAAACATTAGTGGATCCGAGTATCTACCCCCTTTTCAAGAAACAGGGCGGCTTCTAGCCAATTTGTTCAGACTCCTCTTTTGTGGAAGGATGTTCTGTAACTCAGTTTGGTTAAAAAGAATACTTCGGCAGTACAGTCAGTGTTCGATCTCATGAAATTTTGGCTGAAATTGTGAACTGCGTATTCAATTAGACAGGAAATGCAACACTAATTTGCTTGCGACACATTGCTATAAACTTTTGGACACGCCGGGATGTTGGCTTTAGCATGTGTTTCTTTTCGGCCGCCTGCAGTGACGGCACTCATTAGACAATGACTACTAACGCAGTAGGCACTTTTGTATTGATTTTCGATACCCTAATAATTTCAATTATATTTTGTAGAAACACGCTTATAATTATTCTTTTTACTTTCATTTGGTAAAGATCAACACCTTCTACAAATTTTACGCGCGAAGAAAGAGTATCTTCCGGTTTTTTAAAAAAAGTTTCTCAGTTTCAAAATAATTTTTAGCTTGGGCTGCCGCTGTATTTGCGTTTAAGGTCCCACAGTCAACCAACAACATATTTTCCGTGTAAAAAAAAACATTATTTCGTCTACTCCATTAGTATGTACCATAGAGGGGCAATGCGACCTTTCTACATATGCAAACTATGTTGCAGGTTTCATGAGGAACATTATTAAACAGACAGACACAATGCTGTTTGAATGGACATTGCACAGACTTCGAAATCTCAGAAGTAAGAACTTTTTACTACCGAAGCATATTCTCTCTTCGAGTATTGGTTTTGAATAAGACGTGATGTGCTACCAAGTGAATACAAGGAGGAATATTTTATGTGTTTTTTTCTACGAAATACATATGAATTTATTAGAGCATGGAAAATCAGTCGAAAAGGTGGCTTTCACTTAAGTAGTCGTTTTGTTACCGAGTGTAGTCATCGCAGGCGGCCAAAAAGAAGTGCATTTAAAGGCCACCATCCTGACGTGTCCCAAATATGGCGACATTTTGCTGCTAGATAAGTCCCTTTGCAAACCCACTTGAGTAATTCTTTCTAATCGCATAAGCATTTTGCAATTTCGGCTCACCTTTCATGAGATCAAACATTGTTACGGCAAAAGGCATTGCGCAACTTTCAAAGAGCAGTTGGCGGCGTGGGGTTAGTTTTGCCTGGGGGCTGACAATGAATCTGGCTCGAATAACAGAATTTCTTCAAGTGCTACTGTGAACAAACGGGAATCTCTTTGTTACCGCTGTGCCAACGGCGCCCGCATGCATTTTTCGGCGAAAGCTGAACATGTACTGTAGGAGTTATCATGTACGATTATATACAGCGAGTGTGCCAACTCATGAAATGTTAACCGAAATTATGAAATGCGTTTAACTTCCGAAAAGCTGGCTCAAATAGGGCTTTAAATTTCATCATCGCGCGGCATAATTCTATAAGAATTCAGTCACCTCGAGATGCCGGCTTCTGAACGAACTTCCTTCCGCCCGCTAGCCGAAACCACACTCGATAAAAAACGACTACTTAAGTAGCGTGAATTGTTCTCATTGATTTTCGGTCCCTCTAGAAATCCAATTACATTTTTTGGAAAACGTGCATAATAATACGCCTTCTTTTACTCATTCGGTAGAAAATTTTATACTTGAAGAAAGATATCATTCGGTTTTCAAAAACGTTTCCTATTTCCGAATAATTTTGAACCCGACCTGCGGTTGCACTTGTATTCTAGGTTTCAAAACTACAAGCCGAATATTTTCCACGCATAGAAAACCATGCATTTATATACGTTATTAAGTGGGGGACATATAGGATTCATAAAATTTAACAGTGGATTTGAGGCATATTGTAAACTTAACAAGCAAAATTGGTAAATGCTGTGACACGGTGTTTTATGAACGGGCATGTCACGGTTTTAAACAATCTCGTAGGTAGTAACATTGTCAAAACAAAATAATACCTCTCCTTCAAATATATTAGGCGCGTATTCCATGAAGCATAATTAAATTTTTAGGGACATCGAAAATTGACGAGAACAATTCGTGATACTTAAGTAGTCGTTTTTTATTCAGTGTGGTTTCAACCTGTGGCCGGTACGAAGTTCGTCCAAAAGCCGGTATCTCGAGGTGGCTGAATTATTATAGAATTATGTGGCGCTATAATTAATTTTAAAACACGACCTAAGCAATCTGTTCGAAACGAAAACGCATTTCATTATTTCGGTTAAAATCTCATGAGTTAGCACACCTACTATACAACATTTTCAGCATGCATGCCCATCTTTGTCTGTTTCCCGCAGTCTGATTTCACTAATGATTTTTTGGCATCATCAAATATTCCCGTAAGTGTCATTTTTATCGAGCTCTCTACAGACGTCCTCATCTTGCTCCTCCGTGTACGCAGCTTTATTTCATTGCGCGCCAATTTAAATTCGGTGTGCTCATATACTCGCAATTTTTTTTACTGACTAGCCGATATCTTTGTCGGGGCCAGCTGCTTTGCACACTCCCACTTTATTCTTACACTAAACTTAAGCATTTCTTATGTGTGTATGCTTATCGGCAAAGAACCTTGCCGAACGACACACAAAACCCACCACGATGAACGCCGAAAAGAAAACTTTGTTCCTCAAAGTCCCTTTCCAAGGAGACGCTGCAAGTGAGCTCCTAAGAAGACGTCTTGACCAAGCTGTCTCGGGAACCATCCCAACAGCAAGGGTTCGCATATCATTCTCTACCAACCCTATTTGATGCGGAAAAGGCAAGGATGGGCTGCCAACTCAGACCGCCTCAATGTGCATCTACTCATTCACTTGCTCCTGTGGAGCAGGTTATATTGATCGTACGAGTCTGCGCCATTCCACAAGAATACGAGAGCACTTTCCCGCATGGCTGGCAAAAGGTGAAACTAGGAGAATAGACAGCGCCATCCTTGCACATGCATCGTGTGGACTCCGCTGAAGCATTTCTTGTGACTTATAAGGTCTCCTAGAGCTACCCTAAGCTACTGGACCAGCGCCTGTTAGCAACAGCAGAAGCGGCCGCCATAAGGTTACGAAAACCGACCCTATGCGCCCAGAAGAATCTCGTTCAGGCTCTACTCCTACCGTGGTCAGAGGTTGATTAACCACATAAAACTTTCTGCGCTCTTCCGCTCTTACCTAGCCTGCATTTTAAAAACTAACTTTTATCGACTTTTTCGCTCACTGTACTGACGAGAAGTTGTCGAAAGCAACGTTCGCTCGCCACATTTGGCGATCTTCACAACTCTAAAACAGTCATTTAAATCTTGGGATACAAGAAATAGACCGGTGTTCACCGATGGCGTTACGGTGCCTTAGGCTTCCCCTTTAGCCCAGCCAGCAGCCAAATAGCGCGCGGAATACAGGCAGAGTAACATTATCGACAAAGACAAGGAACACCGGAATGACTATTTCTGGCTTATTAGTTGTTGTCAGCCAGTCATACTCAACCCCGAGATGTGGAACACCTGGGGCTCGATCCCGCGACCTGTTGGTTAGACGTTCGACGCCCCCAACCACTGAGACACGGGCTCGTTGTCTCGTTCGCTGCTATCGGGAATATAAATTGGTAGGGGAGGGAGGGTCACTCACAGATCGCGTTACCGGTCACACTCGTCTCGTTGTGCCTTGCAGCTCTCTCTCTCGATTGCAGACGACAAGGCAACGAGACCGTGACTCAATGATTAAGGACGCTGGACTTCTAACCAACAGGTCGCATGATCAATCCTCAGGTGTTCCACACCTCGAAGTTGGGTATGACTGGCTGACGACGGCTAATAAGCCAGAAATGGTCATTCCAGTCTCCCTTGTCTTTGTCGGTAATGAAGCGAGACTACAGTGGCAATTGTCGGCTTACTCACTGTAATCAGTCGTACCTCACATGTGGATACTTACACCACGAGTCTCCAGCCCGGGTCCGGTTCTCTATCAATTATTAAAGTTAATGGCGGCAGCCGATTAATCCAGATGACACGATCTGCCCACTTGCATCCTTCAATTAGGCGGGGTTGATGAGCGCGAATTCCATGTGATATGCCTTTTTATTGGGTGGTCCATTTTTAATTGGTTCACTCGACGCAGGCTAATATTTCCGTCTGTAAGTATGAAGAAGGCTGGGATTACTGTTTCTGAGTTATTTACTATCGCCATCTAGTCATGCGGCAGAGACGGAAGAGCGCCTAGGTCTGAAATCGGGTTGAGTGTTTTAAGGTGAGAGCTTAACCACTTCAGGCCCGGTCGCACATCCCGTCAGTTTCGATCGAGGCCATGATCCAGTTGAGAGCCACAGCTGTACGGCACTGCAAAGGGGATCGAACCTCTGCCGCCCAACCCCTTGTCCTCCACCCTGAGGGATTACGCCTGCTATTGGTGCGAACTTGCCTACCAAGCTGTGCATGCTCTGTTGACTGGGTTTCGTTGCAATTATTGCCTTTCTTCGAATTGTGTCCCTGAAACTGGCCACGCGACAGGTATGTTAGACCAACATGGGGGCCATATCGGGGCTTGGCGGACGTTATTTGGGATTCGCACCCATGGCAAATACAACACATGGGGATGCGCTGGCACGCCTAAGTGCGGGCTCGCGCCGCGCAAGCCACTTGCACCCGACCTCGCCCCAGTAATCTTGACTTTGCCATGACACCGGCCTCAGGCTGATGAGGGAAAAAAGTGCGGTAGATGCAGCGCAAGTTTACAATCACCGTCCCTGAGCCCACCATATTGTGGTGCACATGGTGGACATCAGAAGGATCGATGACCGACCTGTCTTCTCCCAGATGACTGACACCCGAATCAATAACACGCCGATTGGTTCATTTTTCACACTTTGAGCTGTTCTCGTCAATTTTAAACAAGTAGCCAAACGAAGTGAGCTGCGTTTAAATATTCCGGGGGTGAACTGTGATTTGCAGTTATCCGGTGACCGAAGAAACATAAAGATGGTGATAACCACCGTTATGCTGGATAAGTAGATTTTAAAAAAAAACTTCAGCTAAGTTAAGAAAAGGATTAGATTTCTTTTTTATTGTCCCTTTCTGCGGGGTTTATATTCTATGTATTGTGGCTTTATAAAAGTGTAAATGTTGACTTGACCACTTATCACACCTGATAAATCACAGGGTTTTATTAATGATAGGCGGTTTCCCTTTTCATACCCTGTCGGTTTCTTGGTTGATATTTCTGGCTAGGTTCCATTATGCCAACCGACGTAGTGTTGGCAAAAATGTACCGAAGTTGTTTGAGAAATGAGAGTCTACTTAAGATTGAGACCGATAAAGGACTTGCTACGCTTGTTTCTGCATTCGCTGAATCTGAGAGCTGTACAAGTAGTCCACAAGTTATTACTTCCATCTCGTTCAGTTCTCAGGCTTATTAGGGAGCAGGAGAGGCGACCGAACAGATGTCTTTACGGTATGTCTGCAAAAGCGCAGGAAAGTGAGGCATTGAATGTGTATGAAACGTGCGAGGGTGACTGTGCTGCGACTTCATCATTTGCTGACAAAAAATCACCGTAGGTGCATCCCCGGGTGAGTAAACGGAGCGCGAGATTGTGTGGCAAACTATTGTGCAAACTGAAGCAGTAGGGGGTGGGTGCGTCTCAACTTGTGATGCTTATCGTCAACAATGTGGATGCCGCTGGTGGCGTCAAGGTTCAGGCTTGAAGAAACTCTTGCCAGTGTCTACCAATTGTGACTCAGTATTTTCTGCGTCCACGTGATTGATGAACTTCCGGAGCAGTGGTTTCCGCGGCAGTGCGTGGTTGGCAATCACACTTTTTGCTCTTCAACGCAAGGTAACTTTTGACTCGAGGCAATTAACTACTGCACAGAGAGCCCTGATTTTCTCGGGCGTGCTTTCGTTCAAGACTGTCTGTAGTATATGCTAGAGCTGGTGACACAAGACTTCTGGCGAAGCGCCTTTCACTGCACTGGTGCTAAATGAGCCAGGCCTGCAATATCAGTAGACGGACCGCCCGCCTGCTCTATGGGTGTAGTCAGGTCTGGTTCAGTGACTGTTGTCTTGGTGACACCGGATGGAGAAGTCGTTGGTTCCCTCTTACCTGAAGGGGTGACCTTCGGTTTCTTCGGCATCGCATAATCAAGCAATATCTCAACGGACTGATATATCCTCGATATAGAAAGCCTGGCTGGAGTGGTAAAGTTATATTATAGGGCAGAGTGAAGGAGGTTTGGGAGAACGATATGAGGTCTCAACGAACACGCACACAGTTTAAAGAATCGAAAGGAAACAAGGAAACAACTGAGAATCACAATTAGGTTTCAAAGAAACAAAACTCACTGACTCTTACCCTGTGTTGAGAGATGCTTTTCCACATTCTGCCACAAAACACCGAGAAAAGAAAACTTAGCTCTTGTCACCACACTTCCAGTCTCTCCCTTCGGCCGGTCTTTTATTTGTCCACATTTAAACAAACCAGTCCTTATAGGGTTCTCCGCACTCCCCAGACCAGGCGCAATGTCATCTTCATATGATGATTGCTTTTGGGGCTGCCTGTTTTCAGCGCCACGGATTCTTCACATCTTTTAGCTATGCCCTAGTTTTTTGCAGCAGAATTTGATAGAATGGTATTACCAAAAAGACAAGGGAGACTGCGATGGCCATTTCTGCTTATTAGCTCTCGTCAGCCAGTTATACCCAACCCCGAAGTGTGGAACACCTAGGGCTCGCTCCCGCGACCTATGAGTTAGAAGTCCAACGCCTCTAACCACTGATCCACGGGCACGTTGCCCTGTCGGATTTGATCGGGAACACACAATGGTAGAGGGGCGCTCACAGATCGTTCTTACGGAACCCACTCGCCCTGTTGTGCCTTGCGGACTCTCTCTTGAGCCCAACCAGCAGCCGCACAGCGGCGCATGATATAGGCAGGATGGCTGACGACGGCTTATAGGCCAGAAATGGCCATTCCAGTCTCCCTTCTCTTTGTCGGTAATACCATTCTGCCTAAATATCATGCGCCGCTGTGCGGCTGCTGGTTGGGCTCTAGAAAGAGCCCGTAAGGCACAACGGGACGAGTGACTTCCGTAGAAAAACGATCGGTGAGCGTCCCTCTACCACAGCAGAATTTGAATTTGTGCAGGGGTCTTCAGGACTTCCACCCAAACAGTATGCCACGGAACGGAGTGCGACCACCAGTACTACTGACTCAGATAAAGCAGAGCAGAATGTAATTTCCTGGCCAGAATCTTTACGCCAGTCGTCGATACCACATCCTCAGGCAGAACGCCATTGTTCTAAACCTGAATCACCTGGCCGTCTGTTATTTCTAGGCCAAACGCTGTCCCACTTTAGCCATGGGCCTATAGTTACTGATAGCGAGTTTCAGTGCCAAAACCTCTGTGAGCTCGATACTCGATATCTAAGCTTAAATGCAAATTCCCATTTGCCTTCAGCAAAAATGCCTGCTAGGTGAATGCTGTTTACATGCGATTGAGAAATCCTTACCGTGTGGAATGCCGGTTTTCCAAAACAGATATCGCCTGCAGAACGCACGTTGCCTTCATTCGTGTCCCGTGATCCGTGCCATTTCGAAAACATCGTTGTTTTTCATGCGTGCTTCGTGTGTCAAGTTTACTAGCATGCACGCTCTACGAAAGCTCGGCTGTTATCAATTTCGTGTTCTTGGACGTGTTTTGCTACCATATGTAGCAAAACTGGGCTACTGGATTATGTCCACACCCAATAAAGTCCAACTCGCACAAATTTTCTGTTGGAATGCATGGATTTATTAAAGTAAAAACCAAAATAAACGCTACTTTCTCGACACGCTGATAAAAAGTAAACTGTGTTCACGTTCTTACGACAGCTACCACTGTTATTTGCATGACATTCTAAAATTCATTGCAAATTAATGAACCACGTTAGAGGGGACCCGGCATCGGTAGACTGTATCAGGTGGGTTTTATTTTGAGATTCATTTGCAGGCTGTTGCAGACATTACACTACCAACAACAATTTCTCCATCTGACCTCAAACCATTACTCAAACTTTTTTTTTACTTTTAAAATTTACTTTTTTCGACTTTTTTATTGATCCACTCATTTCCGCTGCAATACGAAAGCATACGATAACTGTCGGCAGAAACCCAAACAATTTCTGTGTTTTCTTGCATCTTGTCAGCTTACTGTCTGGCGTGCTGCCCCACACGTAAAACCCTTACCACCACCATTCACGTATGACACGATCCAAAGTCTATAGACAGTCAAGTGGGGTCATTCACCCTATCGTTTCCGGGGTTATTTTTATAAATAGTCTAACCCTATCTGACCAGTGTATCCTCAAAAACCCTTCATTTCTTAGTATGTAAATTGGCCGGGCTCTATGTTGTAGGCTTCCTGAATGACCACTGGGACCGGGATTCAGACCTCTTTGTCTCTGAACAATGAGAAAAAATAGGCTTTCTAGTCTCTCTAATCCGCATCACTAACGCTGTCCAATAATTCTCCTCATCCAGTCGCTTCTTATTTGCATTCGCGCTTAATTCGTATCAGAACTGCCGCGTGTAGAACTTCCAAATTCCTGACTGAGACCAGTTTTATAATCTTCCTAAAAAACGAAACTTTGCTTCGATAAAACACTTAATGCACCAGATTCATACAGATGCACGCAAACCTGGTGATTGCTCTATTTATGTCTTTTCCAGCTTCTTCACCCGATTCTAACAAATATCGGATGCGTGGCGCACACCTGCGATAACGACCTCCACTTCGTCTGCCTTCTTGAGCATGCGTAGGACGAGGATGAAATCACACAGGGGGGGGGGTTCATTAACCAAACTGGCTGTGCTGTTATTTCTCGCAAACAAACAGATCACATCCATCCGTTGATGTTCACTTTTCGAGCGAAGGAGCATCAATTACGATTTGACTTCTAACATATTCCTACTAGATGACGAATACTTTTATCTTTACATTTTGCCTATTTTGCTGTCCATTGTCTATCGCAACAAGTTGTGACGGCCAAATAAACGCGGGTTTTCTATCAGAGTCTGCACTGTGGGGTGAGGAGGGGCACTGATCGCGTTGCGGTACATACTTGTTCCGTAGTGCCCTGGGGCTCATTCTGGGGTTCTGCCAGCAGCCGCACAATGTATATACATAGCGACAATGGTTAGAGCGTGGGACTTCTAATCAATAAAACAGGGTTTGATCCTCAGGGGTTGTGAAGTCTGGGGTTAAGCATGGCTAACTGATTACGACTAACAAGCCGGAAACGGATGTTCCAGTGTCCGTCGTCTGTGTATCTCATTTTATTCTTCCCATACTACTAGCCGCTCAGTGGTGGTGGTAGTAGTAGTAGTATCAGCGGCAGTATTAGTGCTGATTCAGCCCCTCGTTTTGCGTGCAAGTACCGCCTCCCACCGTCTCGCATCTCTAATCCCAAGGCGTCCATCGAGGCTTCACAGCTATAAGGGGGTGATTGTTATGCAGTTACCTGGGACCTACGGGCGCACGCAGTTTATCTTGGTGGGGCTGTTCATAAAGATTATCATTCTGAATTTTCACCAGAGTCATGGCTGGCCGACCTCAACAACTTCAACTTTATTGTCCAGCCGCCTCGAGCGATGGTAACCTACAGAATTTGATATCTCGGGCGAATGAGGTTGCCTAATTCCTTAATCTTGTCTCTGATGACCTAAGTGCCTTCGAGCTCTATACGTCTCTGCTTAGTACAAATCACCTGTTATGTTTAATAACTGCAGTCTTGAATAGCTGGACAAGGCACGCGTAGGCGCCTAAATCAGTGCTATTAACTACGTTTTCGCAATAATGCGCGAGTGTGGACCCACCATGATATCTCTATCGCCGAAAGGATTTGCGCATACCGCTCAATCATTTACGGTTGCAAAGAAGATGAACGCGCGATCACTGGGGCAGTAGGTGTATTCGTCTGAGTTTTCGATCTCGTACAACAGACCATCGTCGGAGACTGAGAGAATTCAAAGTTAAATGAGCAGTTTTTGAATGTAAGCTCTAAAGGGGGATAGGAGTGCAGGGGGTAGTGTTCACGATAAGCTGAGTCCCACGCCGCCGTCAGGCGGCATTAGTGCATAAACCCTTGGCTAGGAATTTGGCTTCGCCTCTTGACCGCGTGAACGGAGCGCGTGATAGCGTGGGGGCATATCAACGTGTCTGTTGGTGTAGTTGGTGCCAGACGCCCAGGTCTCCAGCAGTCCTCGCCCTGTCTTATTGCTGGCACGCGCTGCTCGCGAATTTGAATTTGTGGCCTTCCTCTAGGATGTGAGTAGCGACCCGAGACAACGGGTCGCCTCTCCGGACCGCCAGCTTAGGCTCCATTATTCGTGAGCTAAGTCGCCATCCGGTCTGTCCTGTGTAGTGGTGAGGGCAGTCCCGACATGGGATCTGATACACGACACCTGACTGTTCTCCCACGTCTAGTCGCTCCTTCACTCGCACGATTTTGTTGCGCATGGTCGCTGTCGGATGGTGAGCGATACCCACGTCGAGCTCTCCAGCGATACGTCCCATCGCTTTGGACGCATTCTTTATATATGGTGGGGGGTGCCCTTCCTTGCCATTTCGTCCCGAAGATGCCGCAGTTCTCGTATTCGTCCCTCTGGCTCACTGTAGTGCGTGTTTACCCGTTGGAAGAGTGTCCGAACACAGCTGCGTTTATGCGTCATTGGGTGGTTACTATGATAGTTGAGAATCTGAGTCGTGTTAGTCGCCTTTCTGTACATCGTGGTGCTGCGTTCTCCGTTGGGTGTGCGTGTGACGATAACGTCAAGGAAGGATAGCTGTTCGGCATGCTCTTTTCCCCTCGTGAACTGAATGTCGGGGAGGATGTCGTTAAGAAGGTCTTGAAAGGCTGCTGGTCTGCTTCTTTCAATTATAACGAACGCGTCGTCCACGTACCGGCGCCAAAATGCATGTTCACAGTGGTCAAAGACGACTTTTCCAGCTCCTGTAAGACTAGTTCCGCAACCAGGCTGGATATTGGCGAACCCATCAGTGTTCCTTTGATCTGCTTGTATGTTCTGCCATTGAAGCTGAAAAAGGTTTGTTGGCAGAAAGCAAAGAGTTGCAATAGATGGTCGATTTCTAAATGTCTGCTCGTTTCGTCGTAGTTTCCTTCGAGCCATTTGCGTAGATGGTCGCGTGCTAGGTCCGGTTGGATGGATGTGAATAGTGAAATTACGTCAAAGAACACCATAGGTTAATCGGGTAGCACAGTTTTTCCTTGGCTGTCGACCAGGAATTGGGAGGCCGAATTGATGGAGGTTATCGATCCCTCTAGGAATAAGTTAAGTTTATGGGCCATCCATTTGGATAGATTGTAAGTAGGGCTGTCTTTCAAGGCAACGATGGGTCAAGAAGGTAAACATTGGAATGGTGGATTTTAGGTAAACCATAAAATCGAGCCAGTGACGTGTCCGTTGGTTTCATCTGTCGCCATTCGTCTAGCGATATCGTACTGTTGCGCCTGGGTCGGTTCAAGAGTCCAGTTAGCTGATTGATCATCGATTTGGCTCGTGAGGAAGGCGTGGATTGGTAGAACTGTTGGTCGTCGAGGAAGGCTTGTGTCTTTCCGTTGTAGTCGACGCGGTTCAACACAGCGGTTGGTCTTCCTTTGTCCGCCGGCAGCACCATTATATCCTTGACCGTTTTTAATGGGATATTTAACCATGGCTGAAGTTAGCTGACGTGTTCGACCTCCTAACTTCAGCATGCATATCGCCGAAAAGTAGCAGCTGCCGTTTTGGCCATTACAAGGGACAAGGTGCACCACTGTTGCACAATAGGAGCCCAGCCACCGTATGCGCATGAAGCAGTGAGGGCTGTGTAGTCGCGGGCTCCACGCATCATCCCCGTCCTTCATAACCCGTGATCCGATATCCGTCCCTCGCTCGGTCGCAACAGACTGACTCCAACCAATCAGCTGATGGGCCCTAACCAATCAAAAAACTGACTGAGAACCAATAAGAACGTCGGGTGGGCAGGTGAAGATCCGCAACTCTGTGAGGCAGTTCACTGCCCAGCCAAGCAGGCCAGCAAATCGGATTGTACAGGTGTGTTCTTTTTCGTCACATTCAAACAAGCAATCCGGGCAAAGAAAACGGGACTAAATTTTCAACTTTAAGTTAGTCCGGCAACGCACCACAAACTCACAGGCTTAAGTAGAGGCCGTTTTCCGTCAGCTGGCAACCTTCTAAGCCAGGACTACTGCCCTGTTGCAGGATTCTCGTAGCAAATTTAATTATCAAGTGAAATCGAGTGCTGGATAGACCGCATTCCACCTTCCCTCTCCCACAAGCTAGGGGTCAGTTGAACCCCTCTGGCTGACTGTTAGTGATACAGAGCAGCACGGTGACTGATTTGACGTAGAGTCCTCATCTACCGCGTGCGTCTCAGTGGATTAATGTGTGGGTGAGATTTGGCTGTAGTGTATGCATATATAACCAAATAAACGCTGACAGATAGTGCGGTTGGTGTGTGGACGAGGACGGCAGAAGGAACCCCGGCACTGGGTCTCCGGTCGCGTCGATGCAGGATAGGAATATGCAGTCCTAATAGGGACAAGCAGATATGGATTCCTCACCGCTAGTGGAGTCCCCATCTTGACAACATCCTCTTCCTTTTCCTCCTCTTCCGCTCTATTCCCCCTCCTCCCTCTCCCTCCCTCCTCCGCCCACCCCCAACATGATTGCCGCCATCATCATCATCATCATCATCATCATCATCATCATCATCATCATCATCATCATCATCATCATCATCATCAGTCCCAGCCTCGGGGAAGCAAACGGCCAAGTTATTATCGCACTACTGGCCAACACGAGTGATGAAATGATGGCAATTCAAGACTCTGCCTCAGGCATCCATGTAATCATCCCGCCAAGAGCAACCAGCTGCGATAACCATGGTAGGCATGGAATGACATCTCGACTGCAGCCTGTGACGCAAACAGTACCCTTACCAGTTTCCCTTACAGATTAAAGATCTGAGCGTAAAAGCGAAACATCGTACGGACAGAAGTGTTGTTCCAGTGATTGCGCCTTCTTCGTAACTGTTTCCTGAGATTCTCATTTTCGCTTGTATTGCCTACGAGACAGCCTGCTATTGGTTATTCAAAACGGTAAGGTGTTTTGGGTCTGAGGAAATACGAAGGAGGTAAATCGTAGGTAGGGACCACAGATACCACAGCGTTAGGGCCCAGAGATACCCGCTACTAGCTGAAATCCGCAAATAACTGAGACACGTCTAAAAACGCCGATAACTGCCTATTTTAAATCTCAAACATCAAGCACAGCCATCGTAGAACTCTTCAATATTATTTGACGTGTATTTGTTAGTAACAGTAGTTGGAAGTTGGTAAATCTTTTTCTGTCATAGAAGATGCGTTTAGTCATGAAAATAGATAAAAAAATAATCAGCGAGCATTTTAGACATGTTCTGCAAAAGAAGGAGTCCGCGAATAGTATGCCAGGAATAAGCAGAGGTCAATTGTATTTAGCAGTTACATTAGTGATGTTTTGTTCTCAGAGGGCTGACTTATCGTGGCTCTAGTGTGGTGAGTACCAAGGCGCTCAAAAAGGCATCGAACGCACAATGACATCACCAGCTAAGACAAGGGCTGAAGCAGGCGTGCAAAGCAGGATCTATTGGTACCAACAAACTGGGCGACGGCTCATCAGCTGCGTTCTGTCACTTCATAACGTAAATAACGATCGACAAGAATACAGCAGTTTAAATTCGTGCAAAAAATCGATGCAAAATAGCAAGGTAATGGTTTAGGGTAGTGCAGGCTAGGCAACAAAATTAGTAACTTAAACACACTATGGGAAGGACAGTGGGGAAACGCTAACTAGCAAAAAGTGAAGGAAAAATGTGAAAATAAAGGAGCCAGAGGTTACCACGACAAGGTTAGGCTGACCACATGTTCCAGCTGTTCACATAGGTCTGTTTTTACCCGCCGTATATAGGCCGAATCCAAAGTAACGTAAGGTCCGAGTTGTTCGTTTTAGGGTCAACAGGGTGACCACCACTGAGCAGGTATCTAATAGTGAAGGTACGCTGGATCTTGTTTTTTTTGCTTTAGAAACCGCCTGGGCAGGTGCCTAATAGACCTGGCTGCCAACTGCCTCTGCTTTTGTCCAATGTACATGCATCCGCAAATGCATGTGAATTCAAAAATACAATTTGACACGGCATGCACTGGCGAGACATTCTTTGACTGCGGAACTAGAAGAGACCATTTATGGCTAGTTAGCCGTCATCGGCTGGCTATATCCGACCTCAGGCTGACGTTACAGTGATAGTACGGACGTATTCGGAGCTACTGGGAGTTGGCAGCGTCAACCCACAACGTTGCAGTCTCGCATTTTCGCCTTCTTACATTGGCTTCCTCTAAATGGTTGAACTCGAAGGCTCTTAAGGCAGGTCTTTCATTTGTCCCTGTTTTGTCATTTCTATCGCTCTGTTCACGAGTACCTGCAGCGCCGTGCATGCAGAAAAATTGCCTTCTCACACGCTCATTGTCCATCCTTGTCTTATGACCGTCGAATTGTGGCTGGACCTGCTTTAGCACGACATGTATGGTCCACGCAGGATACGAGGTATCTGCAACGATCAGCGCATGACGTTTCTTGAAGAGATTGCCATCGGTTCAGTATTTTGTCGCCGTCAAGTCCAACCGCCCTTTTCTCTGTGCAACAGATGAAGCGAAAGAAGTTTGCGGCGGAGACATGGCTCAGCCTTATCCCCTTGGTCAACTCAGAAGCTTCAGGTGTTAATCCGTTTTTAGTCAGGAGTCGCAACGTACCGCCATGAACCCCTCGAGACATTGGAATTTCAGTATACCTTCATGAAGTCCACCTATTTTCGGGGTACCGGGGGCTTCGAATTGATATACGAAGGTTGGCGTCGAGGGTGGCCCTCTATTCCTAGCAGTTTTTCCTCAGTTCTGCATCTGTGAAAACCATATCAGTGGTTGTACGGCTTTCTCAAAGTCCGCATTTACATGAAATCGAAATATCGACTCACTTGTGTTCGGGTGGATATTTGTTAGTTATGTTGAAAAGTGGGCTTCCCCACTTCCCCTTCACTTTGTGTCTGCACATGTAATCGATGGTTCCGTACGTGAAATCCTGTAGGATTTGTCCTTGTTTCCACAACTCCTGGAAAAGCGCGGTTGGCTTCCTCCACGAGGTGAGGGACGTTTCGTTTGAAGACTTCGACTAGGGCAGCAAGGGCGCGCGGAGATTATCAACTGGAGATCTGTTGCATTTTATCAACTGTTTCTTGCGGGTGAGGTGGAATGTCAAGTTCAGCACTGGCCTCCATTCGAAATACGTCTGTTGATGGTCTTCTTTCAGCTTATAGGTTTGGGCGGTGGGGAACGTAACTAAACCGCTCTGCTGAAATTCCGAGGACATGTAGGGACCCTGCTTCCCCCGTCTGCCGCAATTCTGAGTCTCCGTCTGGTGCGCACTTACTTTTCCGTATGAACCAGCACCAGCCCCTCGTCTGACAATCTTAGGCCTCGTGTGATGCTCTGCACGGTGGTCAACCAATCAAAATCATCCAAACTGCCCAATCAACGCCAAAGATGATGCGGGCATGTCCTCAGTCAAGACGGCGAGCACCAAATGCTCATTGAATGTCCGGCTGCAACCTGCTCTGAAGACTAATTCCTCATGAGTTCATCACAAAACACAATGTCCTCAAAAGAAGAGGAGAAAAAGGAGAACTGTGCGCATGACTTATCTGTCTCCGAAGATGAGTAGACGAAGCAACTACTCGAAACGGTAGACCGCTAACAACCCCACCCCCGATGAATGCCTCGGCTTCTTTTGATATGTCACCTGGGATTCGCATTTTCACTACTATTGATACAGTGCTTTTCCTATCGATGTTTGACTTTTTCTCTTCATAATGGGGACCTGATCTGGAGGTTTTAGCTGTCGATACAGATACGAACCTACTCAAATATTAAGGTTGCTTACTTTGTACTGAACTGCGGAGCAGTTCTGAGGAGCTGAAGACTGTTGACTAAATTACAGTCTCATTTAATTGCTCTCTGTTTAGCTTAGGAGTTCGGTAAGATGTGGTTGTATGTAGCCCCACCTGATGGACACAGCACTGTTGAGGTTGGGGCTAGGGTTAGGGATTAGAGCTAGGGGTTAGGGTAAGATTTTCGGGTTAGGGGTTAGGACAACTATTTTGCAACCACTCAAAGTTCAACCGTGCATTCCTAATAGCTTTTCTTAAGCATACAGCTAGTTGACCTCGTCGTTTATGCATGATGTGCGGGTTGATGTTTTCATTTGGTGCGTATAAGACTCAGATTGTACGTACATGTATCCCGGTGAATCCCGTCGGGCGACTGCAGGTCAGAGCGTCTGAAAGCAGGGGATTTTCCTTTGTGACAAAAGTTTTTATGACAAGATCGAGTAACCTAGAAGTTTGAGGAAAAAGGTGGGCGCACCAGAACGGGTTAATTTAGGTGCTGACGTTTCGGAGAGCTTGGTCGGCCCCCCACTGTCAAAGCTAAAATGCATTTAATCGACCAGAAATTTCAAGTGCATGTCGCGTCGGTCAGCCGCATGTTGATCGGTTTATCTCTTCTCTCGTAGCCTCGGCCTCTCGGGGGATAGTTGGAGGGTATTTTATCTGTGTGCATTCTGAGTCCCCACTTCGTCGGGGGTAGGTGATTGTGTAGCGGCCGAGGACGTCAAGGGTAGCACACACCGGAGTAACGAAGCGCTGGGAAGAGATCCTGGCGGAGATCGATCTGAACGGAGTCGTTAGCATCTCGTGATACTCATTCACACGCAGGAGAAGAAGGTAAGCCAAGCATGGGATAAAGTATAATGGAACGAGATGGGCACAGGAATTACTTATAATAATTGTTGATGTACACGTAGAAGGAGAAATAGCAATGAGATAACCCGTCTGGATGGAGAGGCAACCCTGACATGCTAGCTAAACGACTGGTGGGGATGCAGCGCTGTGAGCAACTGCAGGGAAAGGCCGAGAGGTAGCCAATGTTGAGCGAGAGAGAGAGAGAGAGAGCGAGCGACGAGAACGACGGTACTTTGTGGGGGGGGGGTGTCGGCGCTAGCGAGGGAAGGGACACCGGTCGTCTTCACCAGCACGCAGTTACACCATCGCCATCTCAGGTCCGCGCCAAAAGGGTTACAACATCCAAACAGCCCTGTTCAGTTCAAGGGATGCTACAATTGAACCTTCGTTGGGTGGTCGGTCTCGTGGTTCTTCTTCCTCGTCGAGTAAACTCGTTGTCGGGCTGTCTGTGCGTGACCTTCTTAAGCCCAGTGTGATTAGTTGATCCTGAGCTCCACAGACGTGATGACGTAGGACTTTGCAGATAAAACGCCTGCCAACCCTCCCATGAGACCCCGAGGCAGCGAGGGAAAAGAAAAAATCAACCAGCATGAGGTCGACCTACGCGACATGCTACTTGAAATTTCTGATCTATCAAGGGCATTTTACGCCTTGACAATGGGGAGCCGACCAAGCTCTTCAAAACCTCAGCACCTAAATAAACTCATTTTGGTGAGGCATCTATTTCTTTGGTTCATCAACTTTGTCAATCTGACCTTGAAGTTTTTGGGTCAAGATGTCTACGACAACCAAAGTGGCAAACGCTTCCCGGTCGACAAGGGTGCGCAGTTAAGTGGGGATCCGCCAAACAGACCATGTCTCCACATCGTCCTAGCGATCCACCCTATCAATGCTTCAAGGGATGAAATGGCTGACGAACCGTCCAGACACTTCATTAGTCACCTGCGGGGGACTGGCCTCGTTGAGAGGACTGCTGAACATTTTTGTATTCGTGCAGAAAATCGATGCAGAAACAGCAAGGTCAGGGTTTTGGACAAAGTTGGCTAATCGATAAAGTTAGTAACACAAACGCCGTAGGGGAAGAAAGTGAAAAAAGGGGAAACGTTTAAGAGCAAAAATGAGTGGAGAGAGGGGGAATCATGGAGCTAGAGGCTACCATGGCAATGTTAGGTTAACCACGTGCTCCTACGGCGTTTGTGTTACTAACTTTATCGATTAGCCAACTTTGCCCAGAACATTTTTGTGTTAGGCCGCCATGTGACGAGGATGCTTGCGGAATCCAACAAAAGAACTTACCTCTGACGACTGGCGACATCAGCATTCTCTACAACGTTTCCGCTGCCTCCAACCCTCCCTTTGTTCATTCGTCTACTCACCGCAAGGCCCACTCCAATCTGTGTAAACTTCCTCATCCTGGTAGTCGAACTGCAGACAAACAGGGTCCCAGTCGTTACTCCAGCTGTGAGCTATCGCTGTGACCGACGACAATGCTGCAACTGTGGTCACAGTCTTCCTCAGCCGTTGCTTTGCTATCTTTGATGTCCTCGTCCCTATCACGATGAATAGCCTCTCGTCCCCTTTGAAAGTTGTATGCGTATCCGCATCCGCACAACTGCTGATGGGACGGTCGACCAGTTTCACAGCCAGCTAAAGACCTTCCTAAGCCTCGCAAAGGATACGGAGAAGTAAACGAACCGTCTCCTGCTGGAAATCTGCTCTTTCCTGATTAACTGATGTTTGGCGCCACTGGCTAACGGCCTGTCGAGATGATCTCATCAACTCTTTCCGTCGCGGTCGACGGCTCATCCAACCGTCCACAGCCTGTCCGACAAACATGCGGACTATCTCCCAGGTTCGACCCGGACCAACGATCTCAGAGTCTAGGCTCAAGATGGACTTGGCGACATTGTCTCACTTTTTTCTCCAATGGGTCCGGGTTCGCCAGCCACTAGAACTACCCTGCGACGACCCCTTCGGGGTTGTCTCTAGAAGAACAAAGACGTTGCGCATCCAAATCTCGGGGAGATTGTAGGTGTGGGCCGCCTCAAAGCTGCTATCCCTGACAGTCCTGCGGATGAACCCTGTGGCCTCCTATCCTAGCCTCTTCGCCTACACCTGCCCTCTACCCCTCCCTCTCGTTTGCATTCTACCCCTCCATGTCGTCTACCATCAACTAAAACCACCTTATCAGTCCCCCAGCTCTCCCACCGCAACGCATACTGACTTGTCTCCTCCTGTAACCCTGTTTTTTGTCAGACCTAGTGGATGCCATGCTTTCTATCCTGGCTGAATGATTACTCGTATCTTATAGAAACCAAGAACTCCTTCGGCGTCGCTACGTGTCTTCTTTTCACTGTTGTGGTTGGCATCACATTCAATTCCACTCTGTCCTACCGCCAGCTTGCTACTGACGACAACGGACATTGTGCCGTAGGACGTATAATTCAAATAACACGTAAGCAGCTCACTGAGAGTGCAACAGACCAGAGGCGGACAGCTGTTTCACGGTCGCTGCCAATCATCAGTGCATCATAGGCATAATGTGTGAGTACTTCAACTATCGAGCAAGGGTCACCCACATGACATGTTTATAGGCCTCACTTCGGATGACCTTTGACATGCTGATGATGGGTACCGAGCGCGAAACAGCTGTCTACGTCTGACCTGCTCCATCCTTAGTAAGCTGCTTATGTATTACATGTCTGCTTTTGTCCTTCCGTGAGGAACTGCGGCAGTTCGTCCCAGTGGTCGTCAGCGCGACCATCTACTCTTGTCGCCCCTCTCTCCTTCCTAGATCCCTGTCAATCAGCGACTTCAGTCGTAGCAGCTTGGGCACCAGTTAAGCGAGAGCCCGAACCCGATCGATGTTGCGTACCTGGATAACTGGCTGTGCGCTGATGAATTGAAAGCGTTCGCGAGAACCCAGTTCTGAGACTAAAGTAAACTTCAACGGCTGATACCCGCCTGGTGACACGACTCGCTGCAAATGCCTGCTGGTCGGCTTGTGTTTAGGAAATAAAAACTATCGAAACCGCCCAATCAGTGCCAAAGCTGATGCGGGCATGTCCTCAGTCAATACGGCGAACACCAAATGCTCATCGAAGGTCCGGCTGCTAACCTGCTTTGACAACTAATTCCTAGGAGTTCATCACAAAACACAATGCTCTCAAAAGAAGAGGAGGCGTTCACTGGGAGGGTTTTTTGTGGAGGTCTGACGTTCGGAGTAGTTACTTAGTCTACCCATCTTCAGTGACTGGGAAGTCATGCGCACAGATCTCCTTATATGGCGCACTTTGTTTGATGCGTGACCCGTCAATGCCCCCAAATCGCCTTGCGTTTTACTATCTGAAGACGACCTAGGCTAAATCGGTCCTATCCTCTCAACAGTCGTGACGCGTAGTGGCATTCAGCAGTTACCTGGGATGCCTAAGTCGTCCTATTCAGGGAAAAACTGTTTAAATTTACATGACAGAAGGGGTCCAAAAATTGCCCTTAACAGATTCAGAAAAGGTTTTGCCCGACAGATGACTTGCTTCAAACACCAGCTGGTCCGCTTCCTGTCCTAAGTAGTCTTTCTTTCCTGACTGGTTATTTGAGAACCTTCATGTCGTCGATCCATCGCAGCTCGCCAAGGCTGTGTTCTCAATGGAAGTGGCTCGTTAGCCTTGCCATGGCCTAGTCCGTGATGGCAAAGTGCTTCCTTCCAGCTGAGGCAGTCAACCCTCAATTGTGCGTTCATATCGTCAACAGCAATAAGTTTGGTCGATTTCAACACGAGCGCAAGGAAAGATGGAAGGCTTTCGTAGAAATCGTTCTTCACGTTGTCACTGATTGGGTTGTTGGGTCATAGACGATAACCTTGGCAGCCATTTGCTCCCGGCAGAGTTGGCAGCGCATTAGGATGAGGCCGTCGCTGATTCCGTGAGTGCGGAAAGTCGGCTTCCTTAAGAGCTGGTTTCTAATGGCTCAAGTGACTTCAGAATTACAAACCCCGTCCTGATGACGGCCGCTCTAAAGGAAATTGCAGCCCGCAACTACCCCCAATCGATCGTTCATGCCCTGTGGACGGTTTCTGCCTGTTGTGACATATTGAAACCACCCAGTTCACTGGCAACCACGGCAATTCTTCTTACAACTCGGATGGTCAGAAATTGTCTAAAAGAATGCGGCATTACAGGCTGCCAAACCAAATAGAATCATTTGGGAGAGAGAGGTTGTTACTCCACGTGGTGATTGACAGTTCGACCATCGGTTTCGATTATGTCCACCGTGTGCCCCACAGTTGCAGCAGCAATGGGAGCAGGGACGGTGATTTACGCAGGGGTTTATAGTGCCGGTAGACTTGCGTAGCATCTACCTACACTCTCTCCTCCTCTCTCGCCCGAGCCCGGTGTCAAGACAGAGTCAAGAAGACCGGAGACGAGAGAGGCCGCAGGTGGATGGCTCGGACGGATCCTCACCTTGGCGTTCCACCACACCCCCTGGACAACATAACAAATAACCAGGATTTCAACCAACGCGACAGAGATTTGGAGGCTGGCACGACCGAAGCCGCACCTGGGCGTGCCGCCAACGCCTGGCTCGGATCCCACACTGTGATGGGAGTGCCATAAAGGCCACATTAAAAAGGAGCCATTGCAGCCTGAATCTCAGACCGCCTCCGGTCAAGGAGGAGGTCCAAGTTACCCCGTCAGTTGGCAACATTCCAAGCCACGGCTTTTAGCGCACCATGATAGCTTCAAGCGCGTCAGATTGTTTATAGTGAGGAGACAGTGCGCTGAGTCGTCCACCTCACTCTCCCTTCCCACTCCCACACCCCAGCCGCTGTCCGAGGCGGTCAGCAGACTGGAGTGGGGAATGGGCGCGGTGGCTGTCATGGTCGACTGATTATGACTGCGCGCGCCACGGCACGACCTGGCCACTCAGACACACAACACCAGGATTTCACACAGCGGGGGTTGAACGGCGTGTCACTCACTTGCGTGAGAGTGCCGTGGAAGGTGCTGTTTCAGCCCGTTCCCAGCTCACCAGTCCGCCACTCCATACAACACACACACACACAACGCGACGAACTGCGTGAACCGAGAGCGGGCGTCAATCAGCAACCTTCCTATCCACGACGCTTGACGTGTCGGGATAGGTTCGGACTCAAGTCACCCGTGCAGCCGAAGTCGCATGGGGACCGAGTCGAGATGCGGACTTCCCACTTGCGTGGGAGCTGGCAGTTGGGTGCATGAGGTGTGTGAGTGTTGGTTTCTGGTGGGGTGATGGTGGTGGTGGAGGAGGTAGGGAGAGAGTGAATGTGTGGTGTGGCTGGCGGTTGTCTACCGCAGGTCGTCGTGGATGCGCATGTGGCCGAATAGGCCCATACGATGCCTGAAAGTGCGAGGGCAGTGTGGGCAGTTGAGACGAGCTTGGTGGGTATAGGTGGGTGCTCCAGGCACTGATTCGCCAGTCTCTGTGCGATGGATTCGCAAGTGACCGACCAGGCCGATGCGTGAGGTGAATGTGCGTGGACAGTGTGGGCATGAGAAGTCGGCGGTGTGAGTGTCAGCTACAGAGGAGGAGGTGACGGTGGTGGTGGCGCAGACGGATGGAGCGAGGGTGGGGGTGTGCACGGTAGATATGTTGGACGTGGTGGGTGTGTCGGGGGTGCGGTCAAGGCCGCTCTCGTGGATACGCATGTGGCCGAAAAGGCCCATGCGATGCGTGAAGGTGCGAGGGCAGTGTGGGCAGTGGAGGCGAGTGCGGTGGGCGTAGGTTGGTTCTCCAGGCACTGGTTCGCCAGTCTCTGTGCGATGGATTCGCAAGTGACCGACCAGGCCGATGTGTGAGGTGAAGGGACGGTCGCAGTGAGGGCAGGTGTAGTTCTGATCCTCATACCTGGAGTCGGGGGAGGTGGTGGTAGTGTCGGTTGCTGTGCGCGGGACAGTCGCCTGAGCGGCCGCCGTTGGAGCAGTGGACGAGGAGAAGAAGAAGAAGAAGAAGAAGAAGAAGGAGGAGGAGGAGGAGGAGGAAGAAGAGGAGGAGGAGGGGGAGGAGGAGGAGGAGGAGGGGGAGGATGTAAGTGGTAGGTCAGAAGAATTGTCAGGGTTAGTTGGCGGCGGAGGGGAGGAGGAAGAAGCAGGCGAGGGGACGATGGTTGGCGCCGTTCGAGAGGCGCAGTTAATCCGAAGATGTCCAACAAGTCCGATTCGAGCCCGGAATGTCCGTTGACATCAAGGACACGTTGGAAGCGGTTGTGCGGCGGCGTTGCTTACTGGGCGAAGTTGTGATTTGCGGGCTTCAAGTTTCGCTTTGGCGGCAGCGATGCGGTTGGCTTCGTAGATCGCAGCGCCTGTCTTCACTGTCCTCCTCCAGGTCGGTCGATCGAGTGCGAGCTCCTCCCAGTTGGTGTGGTTGATTTGCAGGCGTTTCAGGGAGGACTTCAGTGTATCCTTGTAACGGCGAATCTGGCCTCCTTGACGGCGAGGACCCGTCGCGACGTCTCCGTAGAAGAGTCGTTTGGGTAGTCGCTTGTCGTCCATGCGCACCAGGTTGCCGCTCCAGCGCAGCTGAATTTGCCACAGTATGGCGTAGATGCTGAGGATTCCCGTTCGTTCCAGCACATCAGTGTCGGGGATTCGATCCTGCCAGTTCAGCCTCAGGATGCGACGAAGACATCTGAGGTGGAAGTGGTTCAGACGACGTGCCTGCTTTGCGTAAACCGTCCAAGTCTCCCCTCCATACAGTAGTGTTGGCAGGATGACGGCCTTGTACATCTTCAGCTTCGTGCTCAGTTGGAGACCATGACGATTCCAAACTGTGCTTTGGAGGCGACCGAAGGCTTGACTGGCTTTCGAGATCCTGTTGGCGACTTCGTCGTCGATCTTGGTGTTGCGGGAGAGAGTACTGCCCAGGTACGGGAAGTTCTCCACCACCTGCAGTTGGGTTCCGTTCACGCTGATTTGCGGCGGCGCGTTGGGGGCTGTGGCTGAGTTGGGTGGCGGTTGGTGCATCACCACCGTCTTCTGCGTGTTAATGACCAGACCGAAGTTCTCGCAGGCGGCGGAGAACAGGTCCATGATCCATCGCATCTCCTCTTCCGAGGTGGTGTTTAGGGCGCAGTCGTCGGCGAAGAGGAGTTCGTGAACGGTGGTTGTGGATACGCGCGATTGGAAGTTCGTGCGCCGTTGATTCAGCAGGTGACCGTCCGTCCTGTAGGCGATGCGGATCCCGGGACGTTCGTCGCGGTAGGCGTCCATCAGCATGGCAGAGAACATAAGACTGAAGAGGGTAGGCGCCAGCACACAGCCCTGCTTCACTCCGTTGGTCACTGCGAACGCCTCTGAGACAGCTCCGTTGTCCGTGACTCGCGCCATCATACCGTCGTGCAGCTGACGCACCATCTGAGTGAATCGCTCCGAACAGCCTAATTTCTGCATGATCTTCCGCAGTCCTTCACGATTCACCGTGTCGAAGGCTTTCGTCAGGTCCACGAGGGAAGAGTACAGGTGGGACCGAATCTCCTGACACTTCTCCTGAAGTTGACGGGCGGCGAAGATCCTATCCGTGGTCCCACGATGACGACGGAAGCCGCATTGGCTTTGCGGCAGAAGGCCCTGTTCCAGATGATTATTGAGGCGGTTGAGGAGGATTCGTTCGAAGATCTTCCCGGGGATGTTCAGCAGGGAGATGCCGCGGTGATTGTCGCAGACTTGGCGATTCCCTTTGCGCTTGTAGAGATGCACGATAGTTGCGTCTTTGAAATCTTGCGGGACTTCACCTTGACGCCACATCTCCTGGAAGAGCGCAGTCAGGTGATCCATCAGTTGGGGACCTCCGTGCATGTAGACCTCAGCAGGGGTTGCGTCCGATCCGGGTGCTTTCCCGCTGGAGTGCTGCTGCACGGCCCTGATGTTCTCCTGGAGAGATGGCGGGAAGTCGACGTTAACGTTGGTCTCCACTTGCGGTAAACGCTCGATGGCGGCGTCGGAGATGACGGAAGGGCGGTTGAGGACGCCTCGGAAATGCTCGGCCCATCGCTGCAGGATTTGCGTCTTCTCAGTCAGGAGAGTGTTGCCGTCGGCGCTGAGGAGAGGAGCAGTGCCCTTTGTCGGCGGACCGTAGACAGCTTTGATCGCAGAGAAGAAGTTCTTCCATTCGTTGCGGTTCGCGTACGCTTGGATCTCCTCAGCTTTGCGAGCAATCCAGGTGTCCTGCATCTCGCGCAGTCCTTGCTGAAGTTGGCGGCGACTGTGGTAGAAGGCAGCTTTGGTGGCATCAGTGGGGTGATCTACGTAGGCTTTGTGTAGGCGGTTCTTCTGATGGCGGCGTCGTTGTCGTCGAACCAGTCCTGGTGTTGGCGGGGAGCGCGACCGCGGACGGCGAGCGCCGTCGACTGGACCGTGTCTCGCAATTGACACCAGCGGTTCTCCACGGAGGCGTTCTCGGCAGCGGCGGCGTCGGCAGCGATAGGAAAGTTGTCTAGCCTTTGAGCTAGCTAATTGCTGAAATGAAGAGGGTGAGCGTGCAAAGACAACAAGGCAACATTCAGCTTACCTGGGGGTCGCTTACCTTGTGGTCTCCTGCGAGGCTGTAGGCGAATACGCATCTTCGAGATGACGAGGCGATGGTCGGTCCACCCGTCAGCACCCGCGATCGCCTTCGTCACCAGCACGTCCCGCTGATCTCGCCTCCGGACGAGGACATAGTCCAGCAGGTGCCACTGGCGCGACCGCGGATGCCTCCAGGTGGCCTTCTCTCCCTTCGGCAGACAGAAGAACGTGTTCGTCAGGATGAGGCGGTGTTCTGCGCAGGTGCGGAGAAGCAGCAGACCATTGTCGTTTGAGCCGCGGAGACCGTGGGGACCCAGCACTTCTCTCCAGGCAGTATAGTCTGTGCCGACGCGGGCGTTGAAGTCGCCAAGGACAATCAACTTGTCCGCCTTCGACACAGTCGCCAAGAGGGCGTGCAGGTCCTCGTAGAATTTGTCTCTGACGGCGTCGGGGTTGGTCATCGTCGGAGCGTAGGCGCTGATAATGGTGGCGAATTTGCCTCCCCAGAGAGGCACGCGGAGGCTCATCAGGCGATTGTTGATGCCCTGCGGCAAACAGTACAGTCGTCCCACGATGTCGTTCCGAATGGCGAAGGCGACACCCGCGTTTCGTTGCTCTGTCCTGGGTCGACCGCTCCAGAAGAAGGTGTAGCCGTCACGCACCTCCTCCAGTTGGCCTTGTTTGGAGAATCGGGTCTCGCTGAGTGCGGCGATGTCCACCTTGTAGCGCGCCAGTTCTCGTGCCACTAGCGCCGTCTTCCATTCCGGTCGGTTGCTCCTCGGATTGTCTAAAAGGGAACGAACATTCCAGGCTGCCAGAGTGAGCGGGCTCACCCTGCCAGTCTGGTGACAACGCGTGGGGCGACGGAAGGAGATGGAGATGAAGGTGACGAAGGAGAAGAATAGGCAGAAGAATAGGCGGAGGTAGAGGAAGAAGAGGTAGGATGAGGAGAATGAGTGTGGCTGTTGTTGTTATTGGTATTGTTGTTGTTTCAATTTTGATTGTTTCGACCATGAAAAGACGTCTGCGGCCCTGGCTAGCCTGGAGACGGCGTGGTACCCAGCAATGTTTAGGCCACCTTTTCTTGGCCCTTCCCCTCGTGGGGGCTGGCAGTGCCATCCCTGAATAGGGCTGCCATGTGCCGTTGTGGCACGGCCGAACTCCACTATGGGACCACGACTTCGGGTTGTAGTGGAGAGCGACTCGAATTCGCCGTAAGCCGCGGTCTCCGACGGCGTAGGTGGACGCGTCAAGGCGATGTCGATGTGGAGATCCATCCCGTCACCGGCTGTCCAGCGGCGTGCAGAGACGAACCACGTCACGACGGTGCCGACGCAGGGTTCCATCCGACCTTCCATCCAGCGGAATCCGCAGACCCTGTGCACACGACACAGCGCACAGGGCCCCCTCACCTGGTTTAGCCCGCCGGTCGAGACGGTTGCCGGGGTGTGGCCGCTGAGCAAAGTCCAGCTACATGGAGCCACAGGTGAGAGTTGAGTGCCAGCAAGTGGACGCTAGGCGCAGTCTCACCTACAAGCAAGTGAGCGACCACCACGACCATTACGTGAACCCACCGCTGACACCCCTACAGTGCGACTGACATACATTCGAGGCTATTACTTCACTGAAGGCGGTCGCGGCCAGCTCAAAAGCTGGCTGAATACAGTCACTCAAGACATGTAGACGCTTTTCGGGCCTTCGTCATCGGGGGGATTAAGCCAAACTGTCCAAATCTGTTTAAGTTAATTGTCGTGTGCAGATAGTCACTACCGGCCAGAGTTGAGGCCAGCTAGTTCAGGCACGACCAAAGCCGTATCAAGCGTAGCCACCACAAATGAGTGATACCTATCGAAGCAACCAGAGCGTTTCGATATGTTCACTATACGATAGAGTAGTCAAACTCATCCCCTTCTATATACCTCAACCGTGGCTCTGTGGGTGATTACGTTGCAGCAGTCTAGCAAGTAAGTACGGGTCCACAGCCGTTTGCCTAATACGTCGGTAGAGTACTTTGAACCATACTTCTCGACGTTGGGTCTTTGTCCGTCATATGCGTGTGAATGGTTGTATACCCGCTACCTTCCCACTCTGTTATTACCAAAGCTCGAAGCGATAGAGGTCATTTAGGCATGATTATCGAGTGACATAAGCAACTGAGAACAGGAGGAGCAGCCTGTCAGCGCAGATGAGAGAATGGCTTGGGTCATTCGGACTAAATTCTACGAGCGTACTCAAACTGGTTTATCGGCAATGCCGATCAACTATTAATACCAAGTATTAACCGACGCAAAACACCCTGAAAATCTGGCTACACACATCACGAGAGGTGAGGGTCACGTAAATACATTTTGACCGGACGCCAGTGGAGGTCGGGCTGAACCAACCTAACTAAATACCACTATTTCGACTTCACTATATTCTACGAGTTGATAAATTATTGGCGGAAATTATGGGAGGCGAGACTGCAGAGCTCTCTGTTTCAGTAAACGTAGATTCTTTTTGTAAATAAGTCGACCGGCAACTGCTTCAAAAGAGCTACCAGAGGAAGGTAAATAGCTGTTTATCGTTAAGGATTCACTGTAACTTAGGGCGATATGTTTAATGGTGGATTGGAGTCGCATAGCTTCTCATGTCTGTAAACAACACACTGCATGGCAACATCGAATGGGCGGGCGCGCTAAAGCGGAGCCAGAGGGCAAACCATAATTTGGCAACACTTATGACGGGTAAATGGACGATACTAACCCGCGAATTATTCCCTCGACAAATCAACAAGTTTAGTTAGAGTAAAAAAAAATACAGCAGCATGGGCTTTCAGAATAGGTTAGGCATTCGTTCTCAGGCGAGATCAAGAAAAGGTGATAAACTGCTATAGACGTAAAATTGCATTGCAAGATACAGAAGAAGATCGCTACACCAACATCCTATCATAAAGTCCTAGCTATTCAACGCCTGTCTTCTGTACAATGACAATGCGGTGGCGATATCGCCACGCGCGTGCCCTAGAACCATCCGAATTGTTCCAATTGTAGTTGACTCAGTACTTTTAACTGTTATATAACAGAGACTTATATTTTAAAATGCCCATACGTCGAAGAGAACAAACTCAGTTGGATGCATCCTCTGGAACTATAACATAAAAATTCTTATTTTATAGAATTCTCATAACATTAATGAGAAGTCAATGAAACTCAAGCTCAGTATATTTTAAGGGTAATAGGCAATGCCTTTGAAAACCCTATCTAAGATAGTTAGTTACGTTTGGTTTTCATTGATCAGATAATTTCTATGAAATTATACTACACATGAAATTAAGTAGGTTCATCGAAGTGAGCGGTTTGCTGACCAGACTTTCAGGAGGCGCCGTCGGTGACTTACCGGCGGACTCCACGTGGTGAAGAAGGAGACACGATCGCTAGGACAATAGGTTTATTAGCCTGACGTTCCGGATTCCTGATCTCTGATGATGGGTTCGAGCAGGAATCCGAAATCCATGCTAATAAAGCTCTTGTCCCACCGATCGTGTCTCCTTCTTCACGACTGTTTCCTAGGATTCGTTTCTTCGCCTATATAGGCACTCCACATGATGTTCCGACCAAGTGCTTAGCAACCGCAGGCCATGATCAACTTGTCAGAATTTGTTCGGGATACTTTTGTGACCCCTTTTTGCATGCAAAGTACAACAGTTTTTCTCTGAGTAGGGCGACTTAAACATCGCAGGTGGCTACTGAATGCCATTACTGGTCACAAAGTGTTGCGATGAAAACACCGATTTAGCCTACGTCGCCTTCGGAGAGTAGTACGCGAGGCGCTTTGACTGGCCGTCACGTGGCTGATTTACTTTTCGTGACTGAATCAGGTGTCACTCACAAGCTAATCTTATCTAGCTTTGCGCGCCCCTACTGAAGCGGTTACAGGGCGTGACCGCTGCCTGGAGAGCGCAGAGGGGAGAGCTGGCGGAATTGGATTGACTGGACGGCGCAACTGCTGTGTACGTCAGGACCTGTGGAACGATTTGCCGACCATGCAACCTGGGATCCGCACACACCCAATGCAGTGAAAGTAGGTTCACGGGAGAGGACAAAGCCTATTCAGGTGCAGCATCAACCCAAGTGAGGGAATCAGTTGAGACAGTGTGGTGACGAAGAGCATATTTGATGGAGCATTGCGCGGTAGCCTCCGCGGCAACGACTGGATATGTAAGCCCACTGAAAAAATAAGAACAGGAACTCCTGGAGTAGAGAAGGAGGCTAATATAAGTTTTGCTGGTAGGGAAGTTGGACGCGGCCACTCACGGAGTCTGCGGGAGGCCTTAAGAAAACTCGCGTTTATGTCATATGTTTGTTTTGTTGTTCCAGTGAGGTGCCAAAAAAGACCGCGTGGTTTGAAAGACGGGAATCAGGGGCGTATAAGCTGGCAGAAAACAGGCAAGTCCAATTTGCAGGTTAAAGGAGACCTGATTGATTAGGGAGGTGTGCGGCAGACAAACTGAGCCTCAACCCAACCTAAAACATTTTTCTAGCGTCAATAATGGCCATTTATTTACCAGAAGTATGACCGTAATATAACATGCCCACCAAAATCGAATGAGCAGGGATGTTATGGCAACAAAACATGGGATACAAATTCTATCATAACCGTTTCTCCTATCCAACGAAGATTCTATCGCGGACCTCGGGATAAGGGCAAAGCTATCCATTTTCCCGTCCGCTCCCAAGCTGTATTAATAAACGAACCCCCACCCCTGAGGGCTATTTGCAACGGCGACAAGAATCAGTCTTAGACGACGGTTGTGAATTTTACTGGTCCCCAACAAATCTAAGCGAATCATATCCAATATGCCATATTGAAGAATGGTGAATATGCCCTACGACACTTGAAAAATAACCGTAGAGAAATCTCTCCCGTCCGATTGCTGAGGCATGAAAGAAAAAATAGGGTAATTACAAAAGTAGTACTAAAACCTGCTCGCGTTTTCGTATGCCTGTCTGCGGAGGAGGACCATTTGAAAAATAAGTAGAGAAACACTGATCATGGCAGATGAGTCCCAAGAATGACTAAATATTTCAAGAGTCGGTCATGCAATTGCTAACGTAATTTTATTTAGGTGAGGCACGCGCAAAACCGCCTATATGATCCCACTAAAATAATAAATTTACAGTCAGATGGATGCAACTGCTGGAGAGTACTAACACCCTCTGCCGGCCTGGAAAACGTGGAGAAGAAAGATATTAGGCAACGGTATGGAGAAGGCCCACTTAACTGACGCAGATTGTGGGTCAGGTCATACATGATTGGCGATAAGGGGAGTCTTACGTGTGAGACGGCGTACTAGACAGTAAGCTGACGAAATGCAGGAAAACACAGAAGTTGTTTAGATTTCCCTTGAAAGACTCATCTTACGCTTTCGTAAGACAACGAAAATGAGCGCGGTAATGAAAAATATACAAAAAGTGCATCTAAAAAATTAAAGGAGTTTGACTGCTGGTTTGAAGTCATGAGAAGTGGCTGTTATTGGCATCGTAATGTCTGCAAGGGCCTGCGAATTAATGCCAAAATAAAAGACCCCTATGATTTGATCCACCGTCTGCCATCAGTCAAGTGGGGTCCTTCTGCATACCACTGCCAGCTACTAATCTCCTCAAACGGGCGCACGAGGACATTTCGACTGACGATTTCGACAATGTCATTCATATGCTCCGCAGTAGGATGAGCGCAGGGACGATGGGTTGCGCGTGAATGGACTTATAATAATAGGGCACTTACACAGCATCTAACGCACCTTTCCCTCCCTCCTCCCAGCATCATGAGCAAGTCAAGACGAACGCAGGTGGGGTAGACCGCAGGTGACTGGCATGGTGGAAACCCGCCTACCACCACACTCCCACCTTCACGACAGACACTTGACTAGGATTTTAGACGGCAGCAAGAACGGGGCGACACAGATCCCGATTGGCGCGGGGCGAGCCTGCAGCTGGGCAAGTCGCCGCACCCCAGAATGTTGGCATTTGTTA